GTGGGCAGGGGACTCCCAAGGTCATTCCGGTTGGCAAAAGACATCTGCACCCACGAGAGTGGCACGCCCTGTTTGGGACACAAGCTCTGCCTCCCCCAGACCTCCCCCAGTTTATAGCCTCTGTAAACCGAGCCCATGAAAAGGGCCTGTCGTTACCACTGTGGCGTCCACACCAACTCCAGGCAGTGGGCCCAGGTGGCGGAACAGGACGCCCCGTTGTACTTCGAGGCCGAATATCTTATGGAAGCAGACTGCTTCAACTTCCTCCTGCTGAGTGGCTGGTGGGTTCGAACCAGCAACCTTTTCCTGCTCACCGGGGTGCTGGGCCACTGTGTCACCAGGGTTCCTGGGTCATAAGGATCATGAGCCCCACGATTGGTTTTTGCCAAGTATCAAACCCGAGGGAGTCAGGGGAGCCAGCAAGTCGGAGAGAGGGTGTGGGAGACCCCTGAGCTCCTGCCGGGTATCTTGAGGGGGTGGAGTGAACCTTCGAAGGTGTAGCCAGCATTCAGCACAGAGAGAAGCCCTGGCACCTGCCGTGGCTGCTGGAGGACCAGGGCCAGTAGCTTCTGAGCGGGGCAGCGCTCCAGTGGCTGGGACCAGGGAGAAGTGGGGCACGTGCGGCTGGTGGGCTGAACAGAGAAGTGAAAAGTGTGGCCTTTGCTTTATGCTTGTTATTGGCCTCGCATGGGTGTGGACAGCCAGCACCCACAAGCCAGCAGGGGAGTGGCTTCTCTGGCAGTGGGGACATCTTTAGCTGGGGCTGTCCAGGGGGCAGAGACTGCTTTCCCTGCCAAACCCAAGCCCAACAGCAAATCTGCGTGCCCAACAACTACCGGTCCTTCTTCTGTGCCTGGAGGTGGCTTACAATCTAGCAAGAGAGCACCAGAGCCCCTGGGCAGTTACTGGTCACCTGATATGTTTGAAAAGTAGGGCTAAGGCTACTCTGCTCTAAGGCCGGGGGTCCTGAGGTATAGAGGTTATGCATTAGGCTGCTAACCATAAGGCCATTAGTTCAAAACCACTGGTGGCTCTGTGGGAGAAAGATGAGGCTTTCTACTCCCATAAAGTGTTATGGAGTCTCAGAACCCCACGGGGGCAGCTCTACCCTGTCTTGTAGGTTCACTCGGCGTCGGCGTCGACCTGACGGCAGTGAGCTTGGATCTGGGGTTCCGTGGATTCCCCCCACCACCACCGTAAGGCCACAGCGAGGTGGACAGATAATGGATGGAAGGTGCTGTGATATGGAGCCAGCTCCCAAGAAGCGATGTCCCTGCCTGCCTAGGCAGTGTGCCGACCTCAACACAAAGGGAAACACGGGCCTCCTGATACAAAACACTGCTAACTCCAGAGAGCCACGCAGAGCCTCAACTCAACACGCAGCCATGGCGGCACAGCGGCCAAGCCCTAACTGGAACAGCACACCGGCAGCTGGAGCCCAGCCAGCAGGTAGGAGGGGGGAGGCCTGGCAGAGTGCTTCCGACGACAGCCTAGAACACCCGGGGGCCACCCAACTGTCACATGGGGCCGCAGGAGTTGAAATCAACCCAAGGACACCCAACAAGAAGAGCCCCTCAACCTCACCGGATGCACAACCTGTAAGACAGCCTTGGTCCTCGACCCTGGTCTGTAAGTCGTTTGGTCCCACCCCCCTTCCCCAATATATATATATATATATTGAATATACATGTGTGTGTGTGTATACACACACACACACACACACATATATATATTCAAGTTGGTCCCAACTCCTATCAGCCTCAGAGGGCAGCGTTCAAAAGCCTGCAAGCCTGGTTCCGGTGTTCCAAGGGAATACGTGGCGTCACAGGCTGAGCACCACACCTCCCGGCCCTGGAGCGGCTGGTGGTGCTCCATCACCGACCTCTCCCTTAGCAGCCCACTGCTCGCAAAGCTGCCTAACTCTGACCACTCCGACCATTACCTTCATTCCAAACTTTGGAAACACAAATCAGCGAGTCATTTAACCCTTGCTGACCTGGATCAGAGTGCGTCCCGCTCACTCGCACCCCTGACGCATGACTGGTTCCCCACTAGTAGGGCAACTTCCGGCTGGCAGTCCACTGGGACCCTCTCCACCGGACTGAGACCTTGAACAAGCTACTGTCCCTCTGCAGGGCTCATGTTTCCACATCTGCCACGGAGAGGCCTAGGCATGATGTAAGAACCCTGGTGGTATAGTGGGTGCCCCATCGGGCTACCAACTGAAGGTCAGCAGTTCAAAACCACCAGCTGCTCCCGTAAGAGGTACCACTTCAGACACCCACTGGGGCAGCCCCATTCTGCCCTGGAGGCGTGCTGGCACTTGGACTCCGTGGCAGTGGGTTTGGATAGGTTCACTACCTGCCTTCCTTCCAGGGAGGCTAGCATAGGGTCGAGGGCAGGATAAGGTACCACTGAGAAAGGGGAAGAGGACTTGTGTTTGGGGCAAATCTCCAGCAGAGGGTCTCTGCACACCTGTCCCCCAGCCCTGAGACTCTCTCCCAGGGCTGCCGATCAGACAGGCACACCTTCAAACAAAGTGCCTAAGAGGCACAGGTCTGCCGGACCAGCTCGGTGTCCTTTCTGGATGATGAGAGGAATCAGAGAGCCACCCCTCGCCTCCCTGATCTCGGGCAGGTCATCCAGCCTCTCAGGATTGCTGCTGCTGCTGCTGCTGCTGCGCCCACCAGGAGGAGAATAAACTTGGCTTCCTTCCCCCTTCCTTCCCAACGGTGCTGGCTGGAGGTGGATGGGAACTCCCTCGGGAAACGAGTCCAGATGATAAACCTAACTCTGCTGACACAGGCTTCCGGCTCCGCGGGCACAGGGAGGGGTGACAAGCAGACCCCAGTCCTGGCACTTCCCAGCTGTGTGACACTGGACAAGTCACTCCCCTTCTCTGAGCCACCACTGTTTGTAAAAGGGAGTGGCCATCCTCACCCACCTACCCTTTGTGCTACTGTCCTTAAGAAGCCCAAATGAGTCAAGACCTGGAAAGGCTGGGGCTCAAGCTCTAAAAATGCTGCTTGTGGTTAACAGAGGACCCCGGGGTGGTGCAAACACCCCCACCCGCCGCTGTGAACTGAGAGGTTGGCGGTTTCCGTCCACCCAGAGATGCCTCTGTAAAAAGGCCTGGTGACCTCCCCCTAAAAAAAACCCAGTCATTGAAACCCGCCTGGAACCCGGTCCTACTCTGACACGACATGGGGGAGAGCGGACTTGATGGCTGCTGGCTTGGCTCCCAGTTTTATGAGGGCAAAGACGCATGGTGGCTGTCCCGTGCCCAGCACAGAAGGTGTGCCTAGCACCCTGCCGAGCGCTTCACACCCACGCCCTCTAAACCTCACAACCATCCTGGAAGGTCAGCCGCATGCCCACTCTGCAGATCAGAAAACTGAGGCCAGGAGGGGCCCTCCTCCCCAGCTCACATCCGGTCCCCTCCATCACATGGCACAGCCAGGAAATGGACAGGGACAAGTGGCAGGTCAGAGAGCCAACGAGAGCGATGGGTCATCGCAGCCACCATGACACTCTCAGGGGGACACGAGCCCCGACAAGAAGCCCCACACCAAAGCACAAATGGTGCGGGTCCCGGGGTGGGGTTGAGTTGTACTCCGCTTGGAAGACCCACAAGGGCACCAGAGAAAGGGGAGCCTCGTCTGTGGGCCCCGAGCCTCCAGAGGAAACATCAGCACTATCAAGTTCACCAGCAGGGCCGTCCGTGCTCCCATCCCTTGCCCAGCAAGCACATTGTCCCGGTGGCGAGTGACCGCGGCCCCTCCTCCAGCTGCCATCTGAAGCGGGCGCAGCTAGGCTTTGCAGCCCTCGGCTGGCTGCTTTTGCCCATGGCCTCGAGGATAACACCAAGATGTTCGCTGTTCTGGGGGAAGGGAAGGAGAACAAGCACCCTGGCGGGCTATGTTCTTACGGAACACCTGAGCACTCTGCAGACCCACCCACCTGGTCGTCATGCTGCCAGCCTCCTCCCGAGCCAGCGGCGCCCCCCTCGGGGCTGTTGAGGGGTTGCAGTTCCTTCTCTTTCTGGCATGTTCTATCCCCAGGTGTCCACTGCGCTGGCCTCCATCTTGTTCACACCCCTGGACGGGGGCTGCTCCTCCGGACCAGCTTGTACAAGAGCTCAGGGTGTGTGTCCAGCGCGGGCAGGCTGGGGAGGAGGGGCGTGGGCGCAAAGGGCCACACTTGAAGCGATCAGTAGCCTCGCCATGGCTTCGGATGGTCAGGCTGTATTCATGGGTTTGAGCTTTGCCCCTGGACTCTGCCGTGCCCTGGGCCTGCCTGTCCCCACACGGCTGCATCATCAACGCCAGAGACAAGGACAGAGGCTGAGACACGGGCCTGTCCTGAGGACCTCGCTGTTGGGGTAGGGCACGCAGAGGGAAAGGGAGCCACTCTGGGCAGTCAGTCCTTCTGCCCCCTTCCTGGACCTAGGAGAGTCTCAGCCCCTTGGGGCAGCTGGCAGGACAGAGCTGTCCAGGGAAGCATGCCAGGCTCTGAACAATCGCTCCTGTAGTTCCCTCGTCACTACCTTCACTCCTTGATAAACAACTGCTCGGGAACAAGGGGTGGGGGCAGATTCACAGCCCGGGAATGGCTACCCTGAGGAGCTGGACCATCAGAATGACCAGAGGCCATGGTAGGGAGCCATCACTGGCAGGGCAGGGGCTTCACTCATGGCCTGACCCCCTGGTAGGCAGTGACTGTTGCACTGGGCTGGAAACAGTACAGTCAGGGGCAGGGAAAGCTTGTCCATGGTCTGTCCTGGGGTAGGACCAGGTCCCACCCTGGCCCTGTGATCGGCTGGGCCCCTTCCAGCTCCCCTGCACCCTTCCTCCTCCCCCACCTCCATAGGGAGGCTATAGAGCTACCTGGCCCAGCCAGGAGGAAAGAGGACCGCAAGGCTGCCCGATCCCTTCCTACAGAGACCTGCGGAGAACCTTAGGGTGAAAGCAGCTTTATTCTCAGCCTGCTGAGAGGGCAGGTGTGGACAGTCAGAAAGGAGCTCCACGCACTTTGTCTGAGAGAAGAGGCAGAACCTCTGGGGGGTTGGAGTTGTCCAGTGTGGGAAGGGCTGCCCAGCAGGGGTGGCTCCCTGACCCCAGAGGGGCTTAATCAAAGGCTAGCCCACTGGATGTAGGCCACGGGGCGGCAGGGGGAGCCCTGGCCCCAGGAGACAGACTTCCTCCACCCTTGCCGCCCACGGATTCCGGCCCTTGGGTTTTGGAGCCCCTGGGTAGTGTGAAAGGTTCACACACCCAGCAGCTAATGGGAAGGTTGTGGGTTCAAGTTCACCCCGAGGTGCTTGGGAAGAAAGGGCTGGCATCCAGCTTTCCAAAAAGCAGAGCTGACAGCCCTAGGGAGTACACGCAGGGGTCGCCCTGCGTCAGGGGCTGCACCGCGAACTGGTTCCGGTTAGCAGCAGGACCCCTTTGCAGAGAACCAAAGATTCTGGGAAGAGCCACAGGGTGAGGGAGTGTGCTGTCGCAATGAGACATCAGCCCATTGTCTCAAGTGGAGGCTGCTGGAGTTGCCCTGTTCAGGGGCGGGTGGCACCTGCATGCCCCTTGCCCCCAAAAGCACTGAAGGGGAGGGTGGTACAGGGGCATCTGGGCCAATGTCTGTGGCCTGTGTGTTCCACACTTGTATCTCTTCCTGCTGATGCCCAGGGTTCTGGTGTCCCTAGCCTCTCCAACTTTCCCCCAGACATCTAAATGCTTTCAGACCGGGCCTCATGATCCCTGAGCTGCCCCAGCTTCCTTCAGAGAGTCAGCAGGCTGGTGAGTAAACATCAGCTTCCCCAGCCCGCAGCACAGAGGGTAAGTCCAGACCTGGGCCGCGGTCTCGGGAGCAAGCAGTTTCCTCCCGTGTGAACGCAGACTCCTGAGATCCAGGCGACTGACCGAGCACTCCCTTTCCTACAGTTGCTTCATGTCCCCTGGCGTCCACCCCATTCCAGGGTCAGCTGGCTGGCAAGGATGGCAGATTTCAGGCATCCGTCTCTTCATTTCCCAGGACAGAGTGGGCGGTGCCCACAGCAGTCAGGTCCCTGGGCTGGCAGTCCCCTCTCTGCGTGTGTGCAAAGAGGGAGGAAGTCATGGGCAGCCGCTGGTGGGCAGGGTCTCCATCAGGGCTTCAGGCAGCGGGGTGCAGGAATGCCCTCTTTCTGCAGGCACCATGGGGTCCTTGGGCCCACCAAAGACTCTGGAGCCAGGAAGGGTTGAGGGCCCACTGGGTGGGGGCCAAGCAGGAGGCCTCAGTGGGTGAGGAGTGAGGCAGTCGGGCTGGCCCAGCTCAACTTTCCTTTTGACTCAAGAGAAGCACCCACAGCCTCTGGCTCATGCCCACAGGCACCACATTTACGGTAACCAGGAGCCGGGGGCATCACCTCTGAGGCCAGGGAGGAGAGCCAGGGTACAGGGGGGACTTGGAGCCAGCCTCGAGGCCTGCACACTTTCCGCAAAGGCCAGCCCCATGACTGTGCCTGGTCCCCGAGGCTCCTGAGGAGCTGCTCTGCTGGACAGAGGAGAAGGCAGGCGGCCGGTCCCTGGTCCTGTCTGCACCCCTGAAAACACTGCTTGGGAGTCCACCTCCTGGGAGAGCCTCTCCATGCAAACCCAGGGTCCCTGAGGGCTGCAAGGGCAGCTAGGATGTCCGTGGAGACAATAGGACACTTCTGGGGGGAGATGGCCCGCCGCTGGGTGCCAGAACCACAGTCGGGCCAGATGGGCCTCTGCGCCTCAGCTTGGCACTTCTGGGGCTCCTGGGACTCCCAGGGCACCCAGCGGCCCTTCCAGCCCTCTCCCAGGCAGGCCTCACTTCTCCGAGGACAAGGGCTCCTCCTTCCCTTCCTCCTCCACTGAGAACATGACGTCCCCACAGCTGCCCAGGGGTGGCTCTGTCTCCTGCTCCGGATAGTGGGGGGCACGGTCCGCCTCCAGCTCTGTCTCCGCCTCGGGCTCTGCTGGCATCGCCAGGCCCCGGCCCTCCAGTGCTTCGGTCTTCACTGTCCCCACAATCACCGTGTCGGCCTTCATAATGTAGATTTTCTCTGCAAGACAAAGGGAAGGGTGAGTGGAGAGCCCGGAACTGGGCTGGGCTGGGGGCAAGGAGGTGGAAGGAGGGTCCAGTCTTGACCCATGGGCACATTAAGTCCCACCCACCATCCAGGTATACTGGGGGTCTGAGGCGGTACAGAAACTAGGGAGGTGAGAAGGACCCCTGGGCTTGTGGGAGAGGGTACAGTAAAGGGCCAGGCTTATCAGTCGGATGGCAGCTGGCTGGAACCCCCATGACCGGGGCCCTTAGACACCCTCACATCTGGATCCAAACGCACCTCACAGCTCACTGTCAGCCAGCAGTAGGTGGACTGACAGGGGAATGAGAAACGGCACCGGGTCTGCTCTCCGGGGCACTGGCAAACTGACAGGACCGGCATACGTCTTAGGGCAACACTCAGAAGGCAAGGATGGGGGAGACGGGCAAAGGGAAATGGGAGGCCCAGAGAGGAAGGGGAGAGTGCTGTTTGCATCCTGGGGGGGTGGTCACAGTGAGTGCGGCGAATCAAAATGGGCGTGAACTGCGCAGTGGAAAACCAGTTTGCTCTATGCACTACCCAATCCCAAATCAGGACAAAGCCCAGCCGGACCAGCACTGACCACAGAGAGACCCTACAAGACAGAACAGAACTGCCCCCTTTGCATTTGAATCTTTACAGGAGTGGACAGCCACATCTTTCTCCCAAGGAGTGGCTGGTGGGTTTGAACCGCTGGCCTTGTGCTTAGCAAAGTAGTCTATTATTAGCCGTACTTTTCAGGTGAAGAGACTGAAGTCCATGGACAAGTTCAGTACCTGCCCATCGTGAAGGTCATCAAGCCACTAGTAGACATCTAAATGAAACCCCAACCCTGCCTGGCTGCCCTGACTGCTTCCTGGAGACGGGCAGCCTGCCCCTCTTCTGCCAACAGCACCCTCAGCCGGGTCTGCCCACACGCCCACAGCACCAACCTGGAGCACTAACTCGGTTTGCCTGGGACTTTCCTGGCTCTGTACCAAAAGTCCCTGGTCCCAGGAACCTCCTCACTCCCAGACAAACCCTGCAGAAGTGTCACAGCATCCGCAGCAGTCAGTCATCCCCAGAGTCTGTCCCTGGGCCCAGGACGCCGGCAAGACGGCTTACTGCTGGTCTGCACCCGGCTTCCTTCCTGGCTAAGCTTACCTAGCACACAGCAGGTGCTGGGATGGCGTGGCTGGGCGTGTGGAGCTGACCCCACACAGGCGCAATCCCTTGCGGGCCTCACCACAACCTAAGCCGAGTAAGTCGTCCAAGAAAGCGGGAAGTGGGGACGCCTGGATGTCCCCCTGGTTACCCACTGTAACCACCACAGCCCCGCTCCTGAATGCTCCAAGCTGCAGGAGGGTGAGTGAGCTCCTGGCTGCTCTGCCCTGAAGCTCCAGAGGCCGAATGGAGAAGGAAGGAGGGGGACGGAAGACGTGGATGGGCGGTGAGACTGCTGCCTCTCCGGGTAACCTAGTTAGACTGCTCTGATTGAAGAACCCCCAAAAGATTCCCAAGGCCTGCGCCTTCAGGCCCGTTAGGTAACACTGGCTCTTCTGTTTCTCTCTCTCTCTCAACACCCTCAGAGAAAGCGAAGCAGCACAGCAGGTTGCGCTAAAGGGAGGCCAAGGGGTTGTGCAAGCCATGGGCTAAGCACCCTGAGCCCAGAGAGAGACCCAGGGCAGGGCCTCAGGCCAAACCAGCCCTATGGGCTCAGAAAAAGAGGATCGGGGGGCAGGCCAGGATGTGAGAGAGGGCACAGAGGAGGACAGGTGGGGGGCAGGATAGGGAGGAGGAGGCTGAACCCCTGTCAATAACCTCCCGATAACGGAGTCGTAATGAAAGGCAGGATTCAGGAAAGAGAAAAGTCAGGCCAGGCTGGCACTCGGTCTCTCGGTGATGAATCAGGTTCACTGTGCTGTCAGGGTGGAAACAGTCTAAGGAAGATCACATGGCAGTGACTTCCAATTACATGGATCGCCTACTGGTCTTTGATTTAATTAACAATAAACTTTACTAGGGACTCTGATGAGGGAGGAGGTCCCTGGTGGGGTGAGGCCCATGACGGCAGGGTGGGGTGGGGTGTACCAGGGGAGGTTGGCACCCTGAGGTGCTGCTCTGAATGACACCAGCGCCATAGATGCCACTGCATGGTGGCTTCTTAGGAAATCTGAAGGAGAAGTTTGGATGGTTATCTCCCCAAATACTTCTTTTTGTTTGCTTGTTTTCCAACTAAAAATTACTGAAAGCTGTTAATTTCGTCATTTCAGGTGGGTGAAGAGTCCCAGCCGCGGGCATCTGCCATGTGGACATGCAGAACAGGGGCCTGGTGCCCCTAGAACCACCCACGAGCAAGAGCGAAACGGAGGCCACGGGTTGGGCCAACCGTGGGCGGGGCCCCCTGAGCCCAGAGAGAAACACAGCAGCACCGAGTCTTCAAAGAAGATAGCAGTGGGCTCACAGTGGCCCTGCCCCCAGAGGCTCACAGCCAGGTGGGGTGGGTTGGAGGAGCAGGGGGATAAGCCTGTACACACAGAGTCACACAGCAGGGCACTGAGGGAGCTGGGTGGGAGTGCCTGAGGCCGTGGGCCAGGCAGAGCAAGTGGCATCGTCTAGACAGGAGAGTAGAGAGAGCAAGGAAGGCTTCCGGGAGGAGGAGGCCCTAAGCAGGGCCTTGTAGGACTCTGGGAAGTCACTAGATTTGAGAGGGTGACCTGGGCTGCTCCGGGAGGAAGCAGCTTCCACAAAGGTCTGGAGGTAAGAGAGGACCATCGGGTGGGAGGGCCAGTCGTGTGGCCCCAAGAGGGCGTGTCAGGAGGGGAGAGGAGGAGACCTCTGGAGGGTGTCAGCAGGACGTGATGTGATCGGGGATGATGTAGAGGAGAACACCTCGATGGTACCAGGTGGAGAGAGGCAAGAGAGAAGGCACGAAGCCCGCCCGGGGACTGGGGGCCAACCCCAGCTGGAGGGCAGCTACAGCTTTAGTTCAGACGTGCTGGGCACACCGCTCTGGCCAGCAGCCTGGAGCATTTCTGAGGCCAGCCGGTGTGGACAAGCCAGGGGCATCAGGGTCCAGTGTCAGCTCTGCCACTTAGCAGTTGTGTGGTATGGAAATCACGGCTCAGAGCCTCCGTTTCCCCCAAAGTAGCAACTGAAGAGAAATGAGGGGTAATGAAGAGGGGGCGACAAGAGGCAGGTCTCGTGGCCCCTGAAGTGTCTT